GGCAAAGCCACAAGATAACACTAACCCATTGAATGAGGGGTGCGGTGCCAATCTACCGAGTCCCAAGGGTTTGGGAGATGAGCAGACACTAGCTTTGCTGGAACAGTACTCGGAGCTATTGCTACAAGCTGTGGAACGACGCATGGACAAAAAGCTCTAGAATGGGTGGCTTTCAGGTGTTTGTGTGTACACAGAAATAATCCCAAGAAGAGGACCACAGAGAGAGCTTCAGACCAGTGCTATCATCACACTGGTCTAGGGCTGATGGGGACACCGTTGTAAATGGATTTCCTCAGGCTCCTACAAGAGACTTGCTCCAATTCTTAGCAATGTGCTGGCCACAGTTTTAATATTTTTCTTCAACTTCCTGTCTCTAAACGAAGTCTTGAAAGAGGAGTTTGGAGAAATTGCCTTGAAGTTTCTTCATAGCCAGTCAGGATGTTTGGCACTTAAAAAAAAAACAAAAAAAATTCCAGTTTATCCAAGAAATTCTGAACTGCTGACTAAAAGCAAAGGAGTCCAAGTGAAGCCAATCCTTTCCTCTCCAAGGCTTCAGGAGAATCAAGAAGCAGACTTTTTCTGGGTTTATTTATTAATTTATTTCTCTGACTGTTCCTCTGTGCCATGTTTGTGGCTGTTATCTTTGTCCTTTAAAAGAACTGTCAATCCCTTTGCCATATCCCAGCGAGAAACAATCTCTGTATTATAAACCTCCAACAGGGAGACAGGCTGGAGTGTCTGTGCAATTAATGAACTGTTCTCTGCTTAAATCTTGTCTTGCTGTTCTTTCTTTTCCTGCCTTAGTTTTGTTACCTGCAGTAATCCTGCTGTTGTTTGATGACTCTGTCTGCTTTTCTTGTGTTTCAAGACAGTCCCCACACTGTATTTTATCTGCATTCACTTCCAGGGGAATGCTCTGCATGCCTTGGACCATGCTTTGGAGATTACTTTATGAATTTGTTAGTGGTATTTTTTATCCAGAGTTTGATGTTATATTGATACTTCAGACCAGGTTTTCTGCAGATATTTTAAAAATGAGATTTAGATACAATACAAAAGCCTGTTTCAGCCACTTTTCATAATTAGGAATTGGATATTGACTTTGATGTTGTCATGACTAGGAAATTTGGGGTGATGATTAATTTGTTGAGAAGTGACACAGAAAAACTTGTTTCCATCTCTTGCAGTGTAACTCTGGATCTGAGAGATCTTCAGTGTCATGACTCATCAGTGTAATTTGTTTCAGTGTGATAGGAAGATGTTTTCTTCTTGCCTTTACAGGAAAACAGAATATTTACATCTCAAGAAAGTTGGGATTCTTTTACCTTTTGTAAAGCTATTTCAACTCCCCACGGAAAATGATTTCCCAAGAACTTCAAACAAGATATTTTGGGGTGTGATTACTACCATTACCCCTACCTCCAGCCTCTTTGCTTTTCATGAACTTCTGATCTGAGAAACAGAAAATCTTGTCTTCTTGCATTTGTATGTGCAATATTCTTCTTGCCCTGTGGAGCTTCTCTAAGCCCATGCTAACTTGTGTTTGTTGTGGCTTAAAACTGTCCAGTGATGTTTTCAGGTCAATAATAAGCTAAGAAAAAAAAAATTTTAAACCAATGAAATTCTTCAGCACCTTCCCCCTTACTCCCACTCCTTTCAAAAACAAGGGCAGATACACAAAATGTTTTATTTCTTCCATATGCTGTCTGTCTTGCATTTATTTTAAGGCAGAGCAGTGTAATCCTAGTTTATAAAACTAATGCAAGGAACAAGCCTTTGGTGAGAGAGAGAGACTACCATCATTTGTGGAAGTCAGTCAAAGGCAGCCAGACTGCATCACTTGGTTACATAGGTTACATAGGTTGGAAAAATTTTCTTTCATTTTACTGTCCTGGCTGTTGTTTCTCTGAAGCCCTGTGGCACTTGGAGATGTGGTCTGTTGACTTCTCTGTCTGTGACTGCACATCTGCAGTGCAGCCTTTTTTCTACTGGGCTGGCCAGACTATTGTAGGATGACCTCTTTCTTCCAAATAACTCTAGGGCTGAATAATCTGCAGTTCTCTCTCTCCCCCTAATAGGTTTGCTGCCTTATCACCACTGCTGAGTGCTTCAGGACATGGGAGTATGGGGAACACTTTGAGAGCTTTCCAGCTACTTCTGCCTGTAATTTAAATCTGCCTAATCATGTTTCAGGTGTCCTTGCTAACCTTCCTTCCATGGGCTTGTACTGAAACTTTAAAATTTTCTAGTTCTGTCTCTGCACTGCACTGTGCTGAATCAGCTGGTGTGCTTGGTCCCATGGGCAGCTTCTCTTGCACAGACAGGTTTTGCGAAGGAAGGCAAGTTGAAAACCAGAGAGGAAATATCTGGCGGTTTCTTTGAGTGAAAAGGTCTGCTGGAGAGGCCGCAAGTGGAATGTATGATGACAGTCATATTGGGTCTGTGATGGGAGTTAGTGTGGATCAAGCTTGCTTTTGAGGTGACCAGTTCCTCCACTTTCAGACTGTGAACATATGTCTTAGTATACAGGAAATTTCTTGATGTACTGGGGCAATAAGACACTCAGGAAAAATAGCAGTCCCTTCAATCCAAGTATCTTTTGGTACTGTTGATAATGGTTTGAGGGTTCTTTATATGACTTCCTTGTGCAATTTTATTCCATTTTATTATTTAAACTTTGAGGTAGTGACAAAAAAGTCAGAGATGGTACAGAAGAGCCAGTGGTGAGAATGAAATTCCCATTAAGATAAAGAGCAACAACTAGTAAAGCTGGCATAGAGATACAGAACAAAGCTCCTTGGAAATGAGTCATGTGAAACAAATCTAGCTTCTAAGCTGATCACAGTGGGTTTTGTTCCCGGGAATGGATTTTGCTCAGGGTCGTGGCTGTATACAGGAAACCAGAGGTAAAATCTGATCAGAATGATGGTAAGAGAAGTGTCAGGCAAGTAGATCAGCTGGAGAATAGTTGTGTAGTTTAAAATAAATTTAGAGAAGTATATGTAGGAGACTCGGGGAAACAGAGTAGAAGTAGAGGTAGTTTTGGCCTGAAGAACACCATTTGGCCAATACCCGTGAAAGGTAGAGTACTGAAAAGCTTTAGGAAAGTAGATTTAGGACTTGGAGATGATGGTCTGTAATTGAAGAATGAATTGGAAGGGGTTTGTTTTTAAATACGTCCTATTGGGCCTCTTGTTTCTTCTCTTGCTGTTCCCTAAGCAACTGCTCTTTTCTCAAATGGCAAAGTCGTGAGCTGTTTGTTTAAGGCTTTGGTGTTATGAATTGAGTAGTAGAAGCCCAGTAAAGGAGATGCTGGTGCCATGAGTTTGTTGCTGAGAGGGATGAGGAAGCAGTGTTGCTCTTTATAATTTGACACTGATCCAACTGATTCTTCCCTACGAACTTCCTATTGCTGGCAGTAGGAAATATTCCTAAAATTCTAGTTTACAGAACAGAGAGGGTGTAAATGTGTTACATTTTGTTGCACCTTGTGAGTATGTTTCATCACAGGCTGTCCATTGGGTCTGGTAGAGAAATACTGAATGGTAACTGCATGGGAAGCGAAGAGGCTTGTCAGAGGAGCTAATAAATATGAGTCTATCCTTCTTAATGGTTTATGATCCTCTTACTGATTTGTGTGGGTATTAGCACAGACACAAGATACCTGTGTTAAGACAAGTTATTTGTTTAACATAAAGCCTGTAAAAATAATTTGGACTTACCTATCCTCTTTGCATACATTTTTTCCCCCTCCAACCTAACATTCCTGGTCAAAATGAGAAGTTGTAGGGGAGGTTTTTCCATCTTAGAAATAGTACTGCTTTACCCGTGGGACCTCTCAGTTCATTCTGGGGCTCTCTTGAACTGGGACAGTAGGAAGGGCTGCAACCTGATAGAGCAGCAAACTCTCTGTTTCATGCTGCAGGCGCGTCACACCCTCCTCCCCATACCCCAATTGCACCCAGGAGCTGTGGGTATGGGAGTCTGCATTTCTTCCACCTCCTCTCTCAGGTTGTCCTCTCCTTTCCATGCAGCCTCCCACGTGATAACTGGGCCAAGGCTTTACAGCAGCCCCCTCCCCAGTCCCCCGTTTTGCAGACTTCATCATGACTCAGAGGGATTGGGATGTTTCTTTCTGGGAGTAGAAACATACCAATTAAATTTTTTAAAAAGAACGAATATGTATATAAATATATATAAGAAAAAAAATGAAATGCAGGTATTTAAACGCCCTTGGTAAATTCATGCATGTATACAGTGTCTCCCCCCCACCTCCACCCCTTTGGATGTGTAGCATCCAGGATACTAAATGACAAGAAACCTCATTAAAATGGTAGACAGGTCTTCTAGCAACCCCGGAGAGAACAGGTGCTTCCTTCTCTGGGTAAGTCCAGCGCGTCCCGTGTTTCAGATCGTGTGTGCGAGTAAGCGGGGGCGGCTGGGGCTGTGTTGGTGTGTGTAACCTGCTGCGCGGCGCGGCGGAAGCCGTGCGGGGCAGTAGCGTAAGGAACAAGCCATGTGCACCCCGTGTGCCCTTGCGTGCGCCTCGCACCAGGCAGGCACCTCCTCACCTGTGTTCTCCGACACTGCCCTTTTCCTTCACCCCTGTAAAAAACCAAGACAAACAAACAAAGTTCCCTCATGCTTTATTTATAAATGTGTGTTTTTATACTTTTGGCTTTAGGTAAAGTACTTTTTTATTATTATTATTATTTGGAAAAAATAAAAATTCGTTTGTTGGGTTATTTTGTTTTTGGTTTTGCTTTGTTTGTTTTTGTTTTTGTTTTTGTTTTTTTCTTTTCTTGCACTGTGAGGCTCCCCCGGGAGCAGTTTTTAACTCTGTATTCATTTGTACTCCGTGTCTTAAACTGTTTCAAATAAACAAGTGACCATTTGTTACCGAGCTGCGCGACCCACTCGCCCGAGGTTCGTTTTCCGGGGGAAGGGGCGGGGAGAAATGGGAGCGGGAAGGAGGGAGGGAGCCGGCGGCCCCTCCTCCTCCGGGGCCGGGCCGGGCATGGCGGAGGGTGCGGGGTTGCGGGCCGTGCGGGGCTGCCTGGCCGCTTTCCCGCGGGAGGCCCGCGGTGAGCGCCGGGCCGGCGGGGCGGGGGCAGGGGCGGGCCGGGAGGCCGCGGGTGGTCCCGCCTGTGACGGGCGCTGGTGCCGGGCTGGCTCCGCCGCGCTCCGGGGGCACGGCCCGCCCGCCTGTGGGGAGCAAAGCGGGGCGTGAACTGGGGCGGACACTGTGCTGTCAGCTTCATGTTTTCGAGGTGAAGATGCAGCAGAAAGGCCGCAGAGAAAAAAAAAAAAAACCAGCAACCGAAACTCAAGAAAACGGCCTTTTTGGGTTGTTTTCCTTTGTATAAAATAGCAAATCAAAGCACTACTCCAGCTTCCCAAAAACGATCCTGTGGTATCACCTCTGTGTGGGAGTTGTACCTCCTGTATCATATGCCTTCCATCCCCATGGGCGACGGCCTGAGTTTTCCATCTGGCTCTGAAACCCCCCAACACCCCCTGGGTTTTAACAGAGAATTTCAGGATCCAGTGGGGGTACACTGCTTGCTTTCAGTCGGGCGCCTGTGGTGTGGGATTTGAAGCAGTGTGGTGGCAGGAGGCAGTTCTCCGGGATGCTGAGTAACACTGTTTGTTGTTTACCTGGACAGAGCTGGGGTGGCCGGAGTCTGTACCCTATCTTGATAGGCCTCCATCCCCGCTGGAGTTTTATCGAGAGTGGGTGAGTCCAAATAAACCTTGTATAATTCGCAATGCCATCAGCCACTGGCCAGCTCTGAAGAAATGGACCTCAGCGTACCTCAGGTATGAATAAGCTTTGGAGCAGGACCGGTTGTCAATTTTGGCTGACCTCACTAAAAACTCCTTGGTTAATCTTTGCTTTTATTTGCAAGATTAGCTCAGATTCCTCCCTGCTTCTGTATGAAGGTGTTCAATCTTTCTAAGATCAGGTGCAAATTTATTCCTTGCAAACCTACTGCTCTACCAGTTCTGAGGCAGCCAGGTGGGTTGGTGTTTTGGCTGTGTGCAGCCAACAGGCTTAGGCTATTGGAACCCGGCTTGCTGGAGTGGGGCTGTAGCAGTGTAAGGACAGACTGACTGGTTGATGATTGAACAAACTTTTAGTCAAAAAAACCCAAACAACGAGCATTTTAACAGTGAATGAATTTTTAAAGAAAAGTCCTCCTTTACAAGGGAATTTATGATTAGACTTAAAATCTGTGGGTTAGATCTAAATGTGTAGGTTTTAAAGCTAAATTTCCTATGGAACTAAGGGCTATTAGCTTCGTGATATGTGTATCTATCAGTTTCTGTCCACCCCTTCTCCCTGGTCGATTGCTTTTGAACGTGTGAACCCTTGAACCCTTGGATTTGGCTGCATTGAGTGGTCAAAAGAATATCAAGCTCAGTCATGAGTCATGAAAAGAAGGAGCTGAAGAGGGCCCTCTACCTCCAGGGAGGAAAACAGAGCTCCTTTGTGAACTTGCCTGTTAGGAGAGAATTCAGATGGGAGCAGTTGGAGCAGAATGTAAGAGTCCTTACCGGACAGTAGAAAATGTAATCTAGAGACACCCATCCATGGAAAGACAGCCTTCTTATTTTTACTGCCCATGAAACATGTTGTTTTTGAAGTATCCAGTATCTAATATATGGGTCAATTGCAGGGCGGGCTATAAACCTTTGATTTATTTTGCAGGGAGGTAGTAGGTCCCAAGGTAGTGAGTGTGGCAGTAACACCCAACGGTTATGCAGATGCAGTGTTTCAGGACCGTTTTGTCATGCCAGAGGAGCGCCAAATGCCTTTCATGGACTTTTTGGACATTGTGGAGAAGAAAGTGACCTCTTCCAGCGTATTCTATGTGCAGAAGCAGTGTTCAAACCTCACCAAGGAGTTCCCTGAACTTGTCAATGATGTGCAACCTGACATACCATGGATGACTGAGGCACTTGGTAAACTCTCTATTTCTCCTGTATTCAGTAAATGTTTTGCATGGAGCTTTGAAACAATCACACTGGGTGAAACAATCACTGCTGAATTCTCGTTCTCTTTCTGAATGCCACAGCTCAGTTTGGTTTCATACTCTTAGAAAGCAGAAGTGGTAGAATACCTAATAAAATAATCCAAGTTTTGGGGTTGGATTACTTTGCAATCGATGTCTTGGTTGTGCATTGGAACCCTCACAACTGAAAATAATTGTGGTGATAGAGCCACGTAGCACTTCTTTACATCAAGTGGCTTTTCTCTGGTCTGGAGTCATCTTTTGGCTCAGTGCTCCCAGTGTAGAAGGAGATTTCTGTTGTTCACAGAATGCTATTTGCAATGAAACCTGTCATAGTTACGAAGGAAGTGACAGGACAGAATTTGGCAGAAATTGACAAAAAATTATTTGAAACACTTTTAAACATGACATATATTCTTTGTTGTTGTTGACAGCATTTCTGTATTCATACAGGGAAGAAGCCTGATGCTGTGAATTTCTGGCTTGGGGAATCAGCAGCTGTGACATCTTGTATGTACCTTCTGGTGCTGTAAGTCTTCTGCGTGCTTTCAGCATAGGTTTAAGAGGGCTTGTTTTGAGTTAGGGGCTCAGGAGGATTGTGTGGTTTTTCTGACAAGGCAGTTCTATTTTAGCATGCTTTTTTTTTTGCATTCTTCCTTCTGCTCTTCTGTGGCCTCTTGCTACTGTGTCTCTGGGTGCATCTACTTAGCAGTGTGTCAGGCAAGGCACTGACAATTTATTTCATTCAGTGCTTTTGCTACAACATGATGTTGTTACATTCCTCTCCCACTGGCTACAAGAGGAGGAAGCAGCCTGATGATAATAGGACAAGCTGGTATTTTCAGTTGACTATAGTTTCTGGTGCAGAGAAGGAAATAGCACTGATTTTCTCTCTTTCTCCACATTTTTTTTTCTCAATCCTAGTACATAAAGATCATTATGAGAACTTGTACTGTGTGGTATCTGGAGAGAAATATTTTCTACTGCATCCACCAAGTGACCGTCCCTTCATCCCGTATGGTACATCATTTTACTATGCAATATGTCTGGAAGTTGGAAGGAGGAGAGATTAAAACATAGAAAGATATGAAAAAAAGGAAGCAGAGATAACATTTTGATGTTTATGCAGTATTATGCTTTCCTCTGTGAACAGAAATCTCTTCTATTTCATGCTGCAGGTAGTTTGTAATACAATTGTTATTCTGAGGTCAGATTTTCCAGTCCAGTAAAGTTATAGGCTCATTGGTATGCACTTTGAATACTGTCCAGTTCTGGGCCCCTCAATTCAGGAAGGACATTAAGATGCTGGAGTGAGTCCAGGAAAGGGTAGGTTTGTTGCGTGTCTAAAGATTAAGTCCTATGAAGGGCAGCTGAGGGAGCTGGGGTTGTTTAGCCCGGAGAAAAGGAGGCCCAGGGGAGACCTTATCACTCTCTACAACTACCTGAAAGGAGGCTGTAGCCAAGTGGGGTCAGCGTCTTCTCCCAGGCAACTAGAGATAGGGTGAGAGACCATAGCCTCAAGGTGTGCCAGGGGAGGTTTAGGTTGAATATTAGGAGGAATTTCTTCACAGAAGGGGTGATTGAACATTGGAGTGGGCTGCCCAGGGAGCTGGTGGAGTCATTGTTCCTGAGGTGTTTAAGGAAAGACTGGACGTGGCACTCAGTGCCATGGTCTAGCTGACATGGTAGTGTTTGGTCATAGGTTGGACTGGATGATCTCAGAGGTCTTTTCCAACTCACTTGATTCTGTGATATTCATGGCAGTCTCTTCAGCTTTAGAGTATTTAAATTATTCAAGTATCTTGTCAATATTGTAGCATGTCATTGATAGTTTACAGATTCGGATTCTGCCTGCTCATTCATTTCTTTAGGAAAAAAAGCCAGAAAGGTTAAAAATAAGTTGTAATTTAATGAAATATTCAAGTTACTAACTGAATATCTGAAAACTGGAGAACTGGACAAAGAGATTCTTATTGGCAGCATTGCTTTACATTGCCTGTTTTCTGTTTCTTCAAGTTGCTTTCCTATGTGCACAGCAGTAGTTTGCTTTGTTGCAGCATCATCTAGAAGATGGACAGCTTAACTTTATGCCTCATAAAATAAGGTTTTATTTTTCTCATTCTTTGACTTTCAAACCATTGGGTTAAGTGAATGCAAGGTGCTGCATGACACACATATAATTTTGACTAGATATGTGAGCTGCTACAGTATTTTATTTATACTGCTTTTATTTTGTTTACAACCTTGAAATCATAGAATCAGATAATGGTTTGGGTTAAAAGGGACCTTGAAAATCGCTGAGTCAATTCCTCTGCCATTCAATAGACCAGATTGCTCAAAGCTCCATCCAGCCTGACTTGCAACACTTCCAGTGATGAGACATCCACAACTTCTCTGGGTAACCTGCTCCAGTGCCTCATGATCCTCACTGTAAAAAATGTCTTCCTTATATCCAATCTAATTCTACACTGTCTCAGTATGAAACCATTGACCTTTGTCCTGGCACTACAGGCCTTGGTAAAAGCCTTTCTAAGTGCCCTTTAGGTACTGGAAGGCTGCAATAAGGTTTTCCCAGCACCTTCCCTTCTCCAGACTGAACAACCTCAACTCTCTCAGCCTTTCTTTGCGGGAGAGGTGGTGTTGTATGTATGTGAGTGTATGAAATACTTGTGTGTGATACAAATCATACTTTGTAAAACAAGTTACTATTAAAGCATAGAACAGAGATAATGCTAACATTTCATAGTGTGCAGTAAAAAGACAATTCCGTCTTTTTGAGCATCAGGTTAATTAATGGAGAGAAACTCTCTCAAGGGAGGGCTTGGAAAACCACATACTTAAAGAAAAGCAACCAGCAGTTTCTGAAGCAGTTGATGAGCCCCATCAATTGAAATTAGAAGTGAAATGCTGGCCACGAGTCACTAATAACCCTTCTGAGTGCTTCCTTGCTAGCCTGACCTAAGAAGAAACACCTGAGGATAGAATGATGTGTAAGACAGGCAGGGATGCATTTATGACTTCCGAAAGGGAAAGAAGGCTGGAACAAAATAGGACTGGGATACAAATGGGCTTGGGGAGAATTCCTGTGAAGAAAGAAAACTGGAATTCCAAACAGGAAGGCAGCTTAGTATTCAGACTGACTTAAAAAAATTATTAAGAAACTGAATATAATTTGAAATGGAGAAAGGGAAGGCTAGTGAGTACAGTAAGTTGAAAAAAGTTTTGTCCTAATTTTTCTTTTACTTGGCGAAAGTGTGACATGCCATTAGTTTCTCTGAGTTGTGTCATTTAATTCTTTCTCTGATTCCAGAGCTCTATCAGCCAGCAACCTACCAGGTATCAGAAGACGGCTCGTTTGAAATTGTGGATGAGAAGACTACAGATAAGGTAAAAAGTTTATAAAGAACATAATCAATATAGTAGAGACCCCTCAAACTGAGCATATTGATTGATATTTAGAAATCCTTTATTACTTGGAAGAGAACGCCCAGATATTTTGCTTGTATTTTACTATTTGCAAAGGATACCCAGCTTCCAAAAAAGATTTTTTACTGCACACCTGAAACCATTGATAGCATAAATTGTCTTCCATGCACCAAACTTACAGTTCCAGTTTTAAATGCATCAACAATAAACAAATTGATTGCATTCAGACTGAAATAGACTCCTCTACACTCACTTTCTTTTGACCTCTACTCAGATCTACATTTTGCTCTACAGTAGTATCACACAGTGCAATAAAACATATCTGTCTCAATGAATAAATTGTGTTTTCTTAGTAGTAGCACTGTTTATTTTATTAAAATGAGGCACTTCACAAAACCTCAGTAGAATCTAATCTCTTGCCTTCTACCTCTGCAATGTGTGAGTACATTTTGCTCTACAGTAGTATCACACAGTGCAATAAAACATATCTGTCTCAATGAATAAATTGTGTTTTCTTAGTAGTAGCACTGTTTATTTTATTAAAATGAGGCACTTCACAAAACCTCAGTAGAATCTAATCTCTTGCCTTTTACCTCTGCAATGTGTGAGTAATGCTACAACAGAACTTGAGCTAGGGCTTGTTCTCCATTTCAAGAATGGTGCTCGTGGAATGTCATTCCTGTAACACATTAAGGTGGAGTGGTGAGGTTAATAATTTTGTAGGGCATAGAAGAAATTAATGCAGGCAAGAGGGATTTTCCAGCAACAAGAGGTGTTTTAGTTGCTGGGAATAAAAATTAGACCAGAGAGCTTAAGAAGAAGAAAGGAATTTATAAAAAGACTGGTGCAGATAAAGTATTTAAGTACTGAATGTAGGAGGAACGAGTGACTTAAGGGGCTGGAGGTGTTTTGAAAGTATACCACGAGACTGCAATCTCATGGATGACATTTATTGCCTTTTCCCTATTTAGAAATCCATCACTGAAGGAGGCAAATTTTTGCATCCTTGACCTGTTCCCAATGCATGTGGGAAACTGTGTAGCTGTACATGTTTTGCTAGATAAAGTACATGTTTTGTAACCTAGTAAGTTTGACTATCAGTTGATTTTCTGGAAGCTTGCTGGAATTTTTTGCCAGGGTCAGTACCATATACACATTCTTTTGCCTTCAGGTGCCCTGGATCCCTCTGGACCCCTTGAACCCCAATCTGGAACTGTATCCAGAGTATGCTCAGGCACAACCTTTGCAGTGTACGGTGAAAGCTGGTGAGATGTTATATCTGCCTTCTCTCTGGTTCCATCATGTTCAGCAATCACATGGCTGTATAGCAGGTAAAAGACACAGTATTTCCAGATACATTTTTGAACTGTGGTGGGTGTGCAGCTAGATATCCCACAACAAAGCATCGGATAACTTTCAAGTTATCTGCCTCTCTGCAGGTTGAAATAACAATCTCGGCAGATCCCATGGGGCTGCCTCCTTGCAGCCTGTTTTGTGTATAATTGGTAGCTTGGTTGACAAGTGCTTGGGATGTAGCAGAAGACAAAGTTTTTCTAGTTGTCAGGTCTGGAGAAGGATAGCTAATGCAGTGATCATGATCCAGTTTCTGTTTAGGACATGGAGTAAGCAGTTTGTCTGTCTAGCCTGCTAACTGGAACTGGTCATCTATGTATGTTTTGCGAAGAAACTGCATGTAGCACATGCCATTATCACATGGCAAAAAAGCCCGACACCCTGGAGGAAGAAAAGGAAACCAGAAAGTGAATGACTTCTAGGCATAGATGTAGACACAACATGAAAGATACTCTGTGAGCTGAAATGTTCAGCTCAGTCTCTTATCTTGCTAATAAGCCTGTGTTTGTTATTGTTCCCCTGCACTTATCAAAAGTCTTGTTGTCTCTTTATTTGTAGGATTTATCATCACCTCTATGTCTCTTTTTTTTTTTCCTTCCCCAAGAGAGTTCCAGAATTGCAAACATTGTTCTTTTGGTGCAGGTGGAGAGGTGGGGATACTGCAAAGTATTATTGTGATGTCATGAAAGTTTTGCAAGGTTTGAGGAAGGGATTTTGCTGTCCTTTACCTGGAATAATGCTGTCTGTCAAGAAAAAAGTATTTTGAACAACACAACATTAGTATTAGTGTAACACTGCAAATATTGCAAGCCCTTTTTGTCAGTACTTGTGATTCTGTGATAAAAAGACAAGCTACCAGTAAAGCAGTATTTCTGATTCTCTTTCCCCAGCACTGTTGCCTCAATCCTCTAAAAAATCAGAAGATGTTTTAGAAAAAGTAGTGTTGTTTCCAGCTGCAAGCCTCTGGCCATTCTTTCTTTTTTGCATTTAGAAGAAATGCAAAAGAGTTTGAGTTTATTTGACCTTCAGTCTGTTAACCGCAGTACAGTCTGTACACACTTGAAAAATCAATATTCTCTGGGTCTGGTCCAGTGAATGTCTGAAGCTAGAGTATATCCTCCTCCAAGAGGCAATGATACAATATTACACTTCTTGGCTTAATTTTTCTAGGAAACATACACCAAAATTGACACAAGAAACAGAACTAAAGCACTGTCTAATTGATGGCCATTGTGAAGTAGTGGTGAATTTCCCATCCTTTATATGGGAAGAAGGGTTCCTATCCAGATATTAAACTTTGTGATTTGATATTTTTTGTATAAACAGAACCGTATGTTTTTTGTTCCTAAACATTTTGTCAGCTTGTGCTTCAAGGAATCTCCAGTATACAGTATGAAGAGGAGTAGGTTTGGGTTAAGAAAGAGTTGCACTGGCAGCACTATTAAAGAACACCATTGTTCGCTTATGTTATTTTTGGCTGTAGTCAAAGATTTGCTCATTCCAAAGTTCAGTCAGTAGTGAGGAAAAGCCTGTACTAACCGAGCTGTGTAAAAGTCTATGAACGTATTTGTAAATCATTACATTCTAACCTTAGAAATGTTTTTCCTTTTTCTTGTCTCCTCAGTGAATTATTGGTATGACATGGAATATGACCTTAAGTACAGCTATTATCAACTACTAGATGGTCTCACAAAAGCTGTGAAAATGCTGTAGCAGAGATGGGAGACTCGAGCATGTGATCTCTCTTTCTGATGCGATACAATCGTCAGCATCTTGTGACTGGAGTATGAACGTGACTCACACAAAAACAACTGAATTATCGTCAACAGTGCCTGCCAAACAGATCATGGCTACTTTGCTTGATTTCAGAGTCCAGATCAACTGGCCAGATTTTTTGGCTTGTAAGGAGAAGGTTTGATAATAGCACTTTTAGGCCTTTGCGTGTTGCCTCCGTGATGGTGAGCAAGATAGAATTTGAAGGGAGGCAATCCAGGTTTTGAAAATCCCAAAGCAGAAGCCCTGACTGTTCAGATCTACACGTTGTTTTCATAACAACCCAAGTGGACAAGGAAGGATCTGCTCTGCCCCTCACCTGTGCATCAGGCTGCATCTGTCCAACACATGCATTCTGCTTAAGGCAAAAGTCTTGCACAATTGTAATTCACTAAGTTCAGTGGCTCTGGTGTTTTAATGGTGGGAAACTACAACTTCTGGAATAAATAGGTCGGTTTAAAAGTTTATTTCTGTACTATTTTTTTTTCCCAAGTGAAATGATGGCTAAAGGACATCTAGGAGGTCATGCAAAACTCAATGGCTACTTTCCATGTTAAGCTAATAGTTTTTATTACTAGTTTTTACTTCTTTCCACTGTTGTATTTAAATGTAGCTACATTCTCTTTCATCTCAAGGGGTGATTTCCGAGTTTCCTTGCCAGATCTACAGTCCATCTGCACATCATCTATGGTCTTGTGGCATGATGTGTGATTCTGCAGCCTTATTCTGTGCCAATAATTGCTGCCTAACACGTGGTCAGGCGAGATGTGTGAACCAGGAGCCTATTTCTGCAGCCTCAATTCCGATTTGTATTCCACAGAACGGGTTGAGACTACTCACATGTCTGAGACCCACAGACTAGGACTAGAAGGCTATTAAATACACAAACATTGCAAAAGTATAATATAAATAATATTAAAAAACCCAAAAGATAGTGTTTATAGTCAAATCTTCAAACAGTTCCTTAGAAACATTAGCAATATGGGGAAATTTATTTTCCATGTATTAATTAGGAAAATACAGATACCCTTTAGACAAGATTGATTGTGAAGAAAAATGCAGGGGTTTTTTTACTTTGTCTGTTTCTTTTGTTTTTTAAAGAAACATAGCATAAAATTTCATTTTATCTTGGGGTGCTTGTCCAAAAATTGCTGAAAGCTCAAGAGGAATTAAAAGCAGGCTTTGTTTCGCAGCTAAATTAAGATCTCACGTTACTTCAGACTTTCCAGCTTGTTTGTGTTTACTGTGCCTTGGCAGAGGTGCCCAAGCCACTTCTGCAGTCAAATCTGGAATTTCCTGCAGTCGGGGTGGAAAGGCAATTTGAATATCTTTTTGCTACTTTGAGGATTTTAATTTAGTCTCTTTCTCTGATCAAAAGTAACACCACACGCCAAGAAGTGACAGCTCGTGTCTGTGCAAGTGGACGGTGTTACTGTGCCACCGCTCTGCCGGAGTGTCTGGAGAGAGGCGTGCTCTGAACTACGTCTCCCAGCAGCCCGCGCTGGCCGACTGAAGGAAGTGGTCATGGTGGTTCTTCCTGAACTTTGGACGGAGATTTTAAGCCTGAGAAGCGACGGTCTCCTGGCGGTGCTGTCTCACGCAGTTTCACACGACCCGTGTCTCGCCACAAGAAAGATCCGCTGGGATGGCAGTGCAGGTGTTGGTCCTGCCTTCCCCCAGGTGTCTGTTCGATGACCCTATGCAGATCCGTGTGGAGGGTCTCCGGCCGCAGCAGGCGGTCACCCTTCGAGCCAGCCTGGTGGACGAGAGCGGGGAGCTTTTCCAAGCCCACGCTCACTACAGAGCTGAGAGCAGCGGAGAGCTGGACCTCAGCTGCTCCCCAGCTCTGGGGGGCAGCTATTTGGGAGTGGAGCCGATGGGACTGCTGTGGTCTCTGCGGTCTAAAACGCCCTATAAGCGGCTAGCAAAGAGGAATGTCCTGACCCCTTTCTCTGTGGACTTGGAAGTGTATGAAGGCCATGGGGACATAAGCCGCTTGCTGGGTAAATGCACCAACGAACGATGGTTTTTAGGAGAGGGGGTGAAGAGGATTTCAGTCAGAGAAGGTCGTCTGAAAGCAACCCTCTTCCTCCCTCCTGGTGAGTTTTAATTCCGTTCTGGTTTACCAGGTGTGACTTATACCACATATTGTGCCCCGTGTCCCCTGGATGCACTCAGCAACTCAGAGCAAAGCCTCAGCTAATGATTCTCTCAGCCTGTGCATGGTCCAGATACTTGGATCCTCACAGCAGAGCAGGGAGGAGCAGGTGTTGCCCAGTCGGTTCAATGGCTGAGGCGGGAGTGTAGTGGTGCAGGGAGGGCAGTGGTGGTAACACAAGATGTCTCCTGGTTCTTCTAGTTGAGGCAGGTCAGGACCTCTCCTGTGGTGAGAGCTCTGGCAAAAACTGTGTTTATTTCTTACCTCTTCTGTGTAGCTGACAGGACAGAGAGGCCCCTGGGCTTTGGCAGAGCTGTGATACGTGACAGCTCTGGCTGTGGAGTGAAGAATGATGAGGCATGGTGGGAGCACTGAACTCAGGCTGCAGCCAGCCTAGGCTGCTCCAGCAGCTGCCATGGATCTTCCTACAGGCTCTGGACTTGTATTTCTGTCTCTCTCTTTAGCTAAGGAAAAGCCAAAGCAAGAAGTCTCTACCTGGTTGAGCAGCTCATCTACGTGGGATATTTAGGAAGATGGGAGACAAATGGGAAAATCAAGGTCTTAAGTAAACTGGTGCCATATTCCACAGCTTCATACAGAGACAGTGCTGAGACTGGATCCTGTGCAAAACTGCTTTGAGCCGTGAAGTGTTTCAGTTTCTTGAGCAGAACTTGAACATGGCTATCTTGCTCTGTAATTAATAAACAGTTCCTTACAGCTGCTGCAACATCAAAGCTTGTAAGGGAAGTCTGGCTATAAGAATGAGCAGAGCAGCATCAGGAAAGGAAGGCCCTATTGCTGCAGGAGGAGAGCTGAGGAGCCCAGGGGTAGTTACCTGTATCACACTGAAGCCTGAATTGCCATAGGTTAGTGCTGGTATTTGTGAGTATATTTCATAACCCAAGTATTCGCTCCCTGGCAAACCTAGCACAGTTCCTAAAGAAGTGCTGCTCATGCAGTAATACTGTTTGTTCATTGATCCCCAGTGGCCTGAAAACATCTAGGCAAATGTCAGCAAAATTCATGATGGGAGAAGGATGTCCAACCTATGACTTCCTATAATGAGTTTCTAAGAGAGAAAAGAAATATCCAAATTCATGTCCTTACAGTGATTTTGTGTGTGCCCGAGAACAACAGCCACCACAAAAAGCTTCAAAGGATCATTTCTTCTGATATCTACTGATGTGTGCTGAGAGGGCACCACTGAAATGACAACTGTGGGAACTTATCTCTTTGGTAGTACACTTTGCTATACATACCCCTTTGTTGCAGGACCTGGTCCGTTCCCTGGACTTATTGATTTGTATGGATCTGGAGGAGGTCTTGTTGAATACAGAGCAAGTCTCCTGGCTAGCAGAGGCTTTGTGACTCTGGCTCTTGCTTACATGGCCTTTGAAGATATCCCTACTACTCCAGAGGTTCTTGAACTGGGCTATTTTGAGGAAGCTGTGAACTTTTTGCGGAAACAGCAGCAGGTAAGAGACAAGTTATGGTGTTCTTCCTGTTGGAAACTATTTTGCAGTTTTCTAGTTGGAATAGTGTATGTCGCTAAATGCAACAAAGTTTATGAAATGTTAGAAGGAAACAACATTGTCTGAAAGACAATGTGATCTTGAGAGATGGAAAAGCATGTGCTTCAACTCAAATTTTGCAAGTAGCTGGGTAGCCAGTTTTGCACAGCATCTTATAACAGTCCAAAACATGCTGGCAAACCAGATTTGTGAAAGATTAAATCAAAGCAGTTCGTGGACTAGAAGTACAAAACTGCTTAAGCAGTAAATCTTAATTTTTCCCAACTTTTGCATCTTTCAAGATTTTAGAGGGGAAAACAATCCATTGACTATATTACAGGCTTTTGATTCTGTTCCACATGTGTCCTTCTAAAGTTTCAAAAGACAATAATAGAAAACTTTAACAAAAGAATCCCTTACAATTGTAGCACTGGAGGGTGTGACACATACAGCTGAGGCTGTATTTGAAAAAATGTGTGGGATAAAAAAGACACTTAATAGCAATGCATCATCATACTTCACTCAAAAGTGACCAAGAGATACTAAGTAGCATCTAAAATTTTAATAGAGTGCTGCTTAAAGAGGTATTAATTTCACAAAGTTATTTCCTTTCTAGCACATAGACACCAGGATTGTAGCCAGTGTGAGAGGGGAATTCAGCCTTGCTTGTTTTCTTTCTCATAGAGCTCTGAAACGTCTAGATTTTGATATAAAGGGCCTTCACTATATATCAGTTGATTTAAACAGCTCTTGGGGTCACTGAGCCTCAGGTGTAATGAACCTTACATCTTCTAAGGCAAAACAGAAAATAAGAGGTCAGCTGTAGGAGAGTATTAAAAAAATGGCAATAAAGAAATTTAATGCAAGTAAACCCGTGAAGAAATGGTTTGGAGATAGGAACAGTAAAAGATTCCATATCGAGACCGCGTGTCTAGCCAGGATGTGGAGGGAGCAAAGAGGCTTTGTCTTTAGAAGTCACCAGGAAGGAAAAATCTTACAGGAGAAGAGATGTTGAGGAGCTGTGGAATTCACAGTCACTCTTGTGGAGCCTCAGCAAAGGGATAGATGAAGGATTGATATAACGTGAACAGTGAGAGGGAAGGGGCAAAATATAGGTGGTCTTAGAGGGATGAGTGAGAAAGCAGAACATTATGTAAGCTCAGGAAATAAGAAGTAGTTGATAATGTTTTCATAACTCTGTTTCAGGTGAAAGATACCGGGATTGGTGTTTTGGGCTTGTCTAAAGGAGCTGATCTAGCCCTTTCCATGGCCACATTTCTACCTGGCATCAAGGCAGCTGTCAGCATATCTGGAAGTGGTTTTAATTCCTTCATTCCCCTGAAGGGGAATGGCTTCACTATTCCTCCCCACCCATATAATCTGGAGAGGATGAAGATCAGTGATGAGTCTGGCCTAGTAGATTTTTCAGATGTCTTAGATGATCACAGGGACCCAACAACTTGGGATTGTCGCATTCCAGTGGAGAGGTCCTTAGCCAAGTTCCTGTTCTTGTCTGGACTGGATGACACAAACTGGAAAAGTGACCTCTATTGCCAGAATGCTGTTCAGCGCCTTCAGCAGTGTGGACGGGAAGTGGAGTTTTACTCCTATTCTGGAGCAGGGCACCTCTTGGAACCACCATACTTGCCTCTGTGCCAGGCTTCTATCCACAGAGTGCTTGGGATGTTTGTGTGTTGGGGAGGGCAGTGGAGAGAGCATGCTAAAGCCCAAGAAGATGCCTGGCGCAGGATACAGGCCTTTTTCAGGCAGCATTTGATGGACTCAGACATCCCTAAGAGCAAGCTATAGTGGAAGTTGTCAAAGATGCTGACCAGGGTTGGTATTTCAGTACTCACTAAATCTTGGAAACTCATCAAAAGTTTCCTGGACTGCCTTCCTCTAAACCCCACTGTTGCATCATTGTTTATTTTCATTCTCCTAATAGTTTTCCACTTAGTTGAATTTCCATTTGGTTGAATTTCGGTTGACTTCTGGCCACAGCTTCACTGTATATTGACACCATCTGGTCTGCCTGTGTGCTGTAGTCTGACCTGGCATCCCATCATGTAGATTGCATTTGTAATGAGCTATTTTTGCCCTCAATCTGCAACCATCTCTTTTCATAAGAGGAAATACTCTCACAGGAGTTTTCCACTGAATTATTTAGGAATATTATTTCTATAGGAAACTACCATTAAAAATAAAAATGCTTTCTACCAGCAAATCAACAATGAGGTCACAGATGCTTTCATACAGTTGTCACGTTCAGCCATCAGGTTCAAGGAAAACGGTGTTGAAACTAGAGGATGAAGGGAGCTGACTGGTGACTCCATTGACAGTGATAGCACATGGGACCTCTTTGTTTTTTTGTTCTGGAATGAAAGCTTTGCTACCCAGTAAAAAGCCCTTTATTTGTCATTTGCATGGAAGCTGGCAAGAAAGACTGAAAAAGCTGGTTTAGCTGAGCAGCTCTGTGCACATAATGGAAAATATTCCAACCAATTCACTTTCACTGGAAATACTTTTAAAATGAAACTCAAATTTGAAACTTATCTTCAGGAAATAGGAACTGGAGGCAGACTAATATAAAATAATTGGAAATGGCTTAATTTCAATAAAATGCTTCTCTCTGTTCTTGAGCATGTTCTTAAGTATTTTGCTGAAGACTTTGATATTTAGTGTTTCTTCTGCTGAAGAGATGATTTAGACAAATAGGGCTAGAGGGCTAAGATCACATTCTTTTTCCAAGTTAATAGCAAAAATTCTACTAATTGCAGCCTGTTGAGTCAGGGTGATTTATATAGTTTCTCCAGGTCTACTGAACACAGACAACATTATTCAAGAACAATGTGAATTATTTAATTAAAGATAATAGACCTTTACCTGCAAGAGGTCCTCTGCCAAGCACAACTGATAAAACTAATAAAAATTGGATAGGAAAAGCTGGTCTTGTAATCTGCTGTAACTGAAAAGTGCTTCAGATAAAATAGAGCATCAAAGAACTAGCTTGAACCAAAAGATCTCATCTTGCTTCTTACATAGTCATTCCTTGTTTAGCACTGCGCACTACATTTCTGTTAAGAGAATGAGAAAAGCTTGTGACAAGTCTCTTCAGAAACTGAGAATCTCCCTGCATGTAAGTTGCTATGAACAAGTTTATTACAAGGGAACAGTACATCTTGCGGTGCTCTTTTGGGGCAGGATGATTTCCCTAGCTAACTTGGAATCAGGCAACAATGGAGAGTGCTGATTTGCAAATGCGTTCTTAAAATTTTCCATCTTTGATTTGGTACAACTTTTGGTCTCTTTACATAGGAAGGAGACTATCCCAAAAAGAAGAGAGGAGTGCAAAAAAGCATGTCCTTGAATGGAACATGTCTGAACTCCTCTTTAGCCTTATTGCTCAGAGCCCATGGAACTAAAATAATCTGGGCGAATGTGATCTAAGTTAAATGAAGCTTATATAGCTTATTGTTTTTAATTAGGTGTCCCTGAAGCAGCCCACAGACTGTGAGACCTTTGGACACAGCTTTTTGTATCGCAGTGTAGATGATTCACTTTACACAGCTCCGTCCTCCTGGCCAATCTACTCAGTAACCCTTTGTGAAAAGCTCCAGGGACTCCTGACAGTTTGGAAATATATGGGCACCGCATGGAGCAATGTTCTCTGTACTTCTCAAGGCTTCTTGAAAAAGTTGTGGAGTTCTCTTCTCATAGTTTGCCATATATGTTGTAAGGCTGTGTATAGCTCAGGAAGAAAAAAGTTCTTGATGTTCTTTACTGAAGACCTGAAAGTACCAGGTCCAATCAGGTATGAGGTTGAACACAAGCAAAAACTGACCCTGAAGCATTTTGATACATGTAGACGAAACTGCAGAAGAAAAGTAATCAGAGTACCTGTAAGCAAGAAATGAACCACAGGTACAGAAGACCTGAAACATCTTTGGCAAAGTAGCTGCCTCTGCAGAAGTAGTGGGTATTTGAGACTGCGGTGGGTTTTTAGTAGGGACTGTGCTGAACAAGGACATTTCAGTGCAAATGTGCTCCTGTAACACCAGTGGCTTCTTACTCAGGTGAAACAGTGTCTCTGGATGGCTTCTGCAAGCAGGGTTATTTCACAGCCACAGGACAGAAGAGATGAAGTGGAAGATGAGAATATACATTGTGTGGTGTAATTTAGAGGTGACTTTTCTCCATTTCTTTTTTCTGTTTCCTGTGTGTGTTTGGAAGTCTAAAGGTTTAGATGGTTTTTTTTAATTCAAAACTTAGTTCTCTAATACACTGCCAGATCATTTGTTATCAAGCTGAGAGATAAGACCAATGTTTAATGACAAAATACAAATAGTAAAAATTTTTTTATAGCAGTATTTTGCTAAGAAATTTATAATTCTACCATTTCAGAAAAAAAATCACTATTCTGTACTTTTTAGTGCTCCATATACATTATTCAAAAATGGAATCTGAGCCAAATGTAATGTTAAGCACAGAGAAAGTGATACTTTACATTTGGCAAGAAGGAAGATTAATATTTCCAATGAACTAACACTCCTTGCAGCATTTACTGCAAAATATCCCTGCTACTTTTCATTGTCTAGGACAAAAACTAGAAATGCTAAAAGAGTCTTAAAAAATTGTCCATGCAAAATTTGCATTAAACCTAAAAATGTCTGGACCCTGACTTTAGATAGCACTTAGAAAAAAATAATTAAGTGAGTTACATTCTATTTATGTAGGATTATATCTTTTCAGTGACTTCAGCCGCTGAACTTTCAACATCTTGTGTTTAGACTGTAAATCTATGTTTGCATTAAAGTCACTTCAGTGAAAGGTGTGGTTTTATACTTTTCTTAACTGTTTTAAGAATACCTTGCTGCACAGAGGGACACATACCTTTTTTCCTGGTTACCGATCTAACTGGGAAGTAATACTGTGGAAAAAAACCAAAACACAAAAGATTAAAATGTTCAGCTGGATCAAAGAAGGAAGCAGCAGGAATGTGCATGGTGTTATCAGGAGAAGCAGAGGTGAGTGATTCTGTGCCTTTCATGATCTGTGTGACCTTATGCCAAGGCAAGGTAATTGAGAAATTAGCAGAGTTTTTAGTTATGTTTGTAATCACTAGTCCACCTGATTCCAAATTGTGAGCCATTTCTATATGCAGTGAAGTGAATGCTTGGTGACTCATTGTGTGCCCCCATTTACAGTGGATCTGGTCCTGAAGGAGTGTTCAGCAGTGGAGAAAAGATTGTGAAATGTGAATGTCAGATAGGAGACGTTTCAAGGGGGATGTCCTGTGCAGGAACAGAGCATGTGCATAACTCTGTCTTCAACTAGAAGAGAAAGTTCAAATGCACTGCTATCATTTTAATATGCTATGAATCCAGAAAGATAGTTTTGAATCAATAAACTTGTGCCATCTGCAAGAGTCTGTCCCTGGATTGTGTCAGTCTGACATTCTCAAACATCAAGCACTAACTCAAAATGGATGAATTTTTCTAGTCTAGGCACTGGCTGCAAAGTGCTTTGGCTCCAGCCATTCTCCCATTTCTGGATCATTTCAGATAAGAGATACATGTTGTCTTGATGCAGGAAGACTACTTTGATACCTAACAGCATACCTAACAACCTTCTGTTGTAGTGGGAGAGAAAGAGGTCAGGGGTCTGTACTTTTTGTTGGAAATATCATATCCAATTGCTGAAATAACCCAGCAGTTACTGCTTCAATGCCAGTCTACATACCACTCCCTGTAAAGCTGAGACTTAGTCTCTTTTTAGACAGCAGTGTACAGGGGCAACTATGTTCTTTCAAGCCTTCCAGGAGTCTTGTTCTTGCTGTGACCATCTTCCCTCATCTGAGGGTGTAATGTCTGCTTTCTCTTTTTTTTCTGTTTTTGGCAGTTTTACTCCCATCTCAATGACCCAGGCCATTCCAATTCCAGGGCACTTTGCATGATCTGATGATGGAGGGGGAGCACCCTCAGCAATATGTAAGGCCAGGGCCAGAAGGGTATATGATAACCCTGGCAATGATGCTTTGACTGGTGAAGACTAGGAATATTATGTTGTCCATTGAAAAATTCCTCAAACTGGTCTTGTTTCTGGCAAGCTACCTTTAGATAGGTCAGAAGGACAATTTTGCAGTGAGAATGAGACGTGTTTGGTATATTTATAGTGGCTAATGACTGTATGCAGCATGTTTTGTATGTGATCAGGAACACTGGAAAGTGCACCATATGTGGCACCTCAGCAGCAAGAAGTGAGATTTGGAGAGTGATAGGCCATTCAGATGGGTCATTCAGTCTGGGCTAATAGTTGACCTGAAGTAGTTTTTGTTAGTTTAAATTTTGACCTAGTTTAGTGTTTAGTTTTTAAGAATTATTCCAAGGAGACCTTGAGGTGGCAGTTGTTTTCACATTGTTCGTTTCTAGTTGAGTTTGCTATTACCAAAAGGAAGGCATGGGACAGCTTTGGTTGTGCTTGATTGAAAGTAACATCTGCAATAATCAGCTAGTTTGACCACGTCTGAGTGTAAGGGAGCTGGTGGTCACAGAACAGCCAAGTCTGGGTACAGAGCCAAGGGTTGGCTCAATAGCCAACCGTTATGATTGAGCAGGAGCAAAACACTGGGAAAATCCATTAGTATCACACACTAGCAGAACTCAGGCACCTGTAGATGCCATTCTTGTTCAAATCCAGCCTGCTCAATCTCCAATTTCTGGTGAGAGAACTTGCAAAATGGGAAACATCTGTGATTTGAAGGTTACCTCCCCATGTGACATCAGGTGTATATACAGATGACAGTGAAATTTGTACATAGTGATGTATGTAAATGATACAATTTGTCTTGGAGCAAGATGAAAGGGCAAATCTTTCAATCTGAACTGATTGTTTATGAGAATCTCCTATGCAATTAGGTTGATATTACATTGATAAATACAGCCAGTGATTAAGCTGCATTTGTTTACAATTCTGGCTACTGAGCCTAAAAATTCAAGCATTAAGCAGGGACTTAGAAGTCACACTTTGACATTGTGCAGAATTTGAGAATGACTCTATCAGCTGGACTTGGTGCATTTGACTGCTGAGCAGTCAGCAGTTCCCTAATTCCCTGCCAGGCACTGACTGTGACATGAATACTGATCTACTGTACTGCTCCTTGGTGCTACTGTCAGAATATTGCTCATACTAGATTTAAATCTGCAAGGAGATAAAGTGTATTTGTTGCTTGCATCAACCGATATCCAGGTATTAGAAAGATAAATTGCTTGTTGATAGAATTGCCCTGTTAAGGTTTAGGGCTTGACATGCTTCAATGATCTCAGACCTAGGGGGAGGTTAACAAAGTTTGGGGAGAACGAGGTACTACTACACTGGATGCAAAGAATGCAAAATTTATGGACCACAAGGACATTTGGCAGAACTCCCAAAATCTCCAGCATGCGGCTTTGGGCTGCTGCCAATGGACTGAAGAGACAGCATGCTGCTTTAGGTTTGGGGATGTTCCATGGTCTCCTCTCCTCCAATATAGGCAAATGCGATTAAAAAAAAAATCTTTGTGATGTATCTGTCAAACTATATCTGGCTGCCACTTTATCGTGAATATTCATAGTGCTGTTTGTAGTATGAGGTAGGTAAATGCTAATTGTAAACCCATCCAAAGCCTTTCATTATTCTGACAGCCTTCATTACCTTCCTGACTTTTTTCTCTAGAAGGGGTTATAACTCAGGAAGACAGTTACATGCTACCCTTCCCTGTAAGTTCAGAATCAAGGTTAAAATCCTAGTTGTTGGTCCAGACTTATAAACAGACTGTGCTGTGTGTATTGGTGATTGATTATTGTGGCAGTGTTCAAGGCTTTAAATAAGAAAGGTCAGGTACCCTAGAGACTTCTGCTGAATACCTGATCATCTTTTATAGAATAATTTGTATGCTAGAAACATGGTGGCTGGTAAACACAGCTGTTCTGGTAAAAACTACTTCATTCACTTTGTGGGTTATCTTACATCTGCAGGTAGAAAAAACAGTCAGACCCTCAGACACAATTCAACTAATTAAGCCACTGACACTAGCTGAGACACTACTGAAAAAAAAGAATATATTCAAAATAAGAAAGTGATACAGATTGAGTGTGCTCTATTCTACTAGCAGGAAATGTGCAGTGCAAAAACAACACCTAGTGGTCACTGTTTGCCACATGGGACAATTGGGAAACAATAGAGAAAAAAATTCTTCACAGTGAGAGTGGTTAAACCCTTGAAGAGGTGCCCAAAGAGGTTGTGGATTCACTGTTGGTGTACATTTTTGACAGAATAAAAGAAAAGAGCAACATCATATTACTTTGGAATTTAGTCCTCCTTTGATCAGATGTTTGGACGAGATGACCTTGAGAACCCTTTCTAATTTTTGAGGATTATAGGAAATAGTATATTCAGGTTCACTTTCCCCAGTGTGAAGTGCACTTGCCTGAAATAGAAAGGCCGGTTCATGAGGTGTTAAACACATGTTGTTTATCCTTTAAAATGGTATATACCACTCATGCATTTTGTCCACAGTCAAAAGAACAGGTACTTGAACCCCTGGCTTCATTTAGCAAATGTATGAATACCTCAGGAGGGGATGCAGTAACTCCTCCTGTCTTCTGGAATGTGTACATGCTTTAGGCATCATCTTTCATGGAAACTGAGGGATAAATTTAACCAGGCAGTGAATGCCACAGTTCTAGTCAGTTCTGTTGAGGCAGACATTCATGGGATTCCTTTCTTAGAAGAAGAAAGTACATACTGGAACTGAAATATTTTTTGGGGGTAGAAACAGATTCCAGTCTGAGAGGAACTAGTAGAGTTTTGTAAAGAGGCTACCCTTGGATAATTCCATAGAGTACTTGGGGATCTTAAAGATATCTTTAGGGTGGTTTTAATGAGTGAATGCTGTGAGTACTGTATGTCACGTAGAGTACTGTAAGTCAAAGTAGAGCTAAGTGGTGGAGGAGGTTTGTTAATTAATTAAAAGAACTGTAGCTCCTGTGGAGACACCAGTTCTTACTTTTATATTGCTCTGTTTGTTGTTCCCCACTGAAGATTTACAAATCCAAGAGAACCAGTTGGGAAGTGGCAGTGAGTGGATACGTATATACCACCCACAGCACATCTTCCATCCAAAGCTGTCAGTGGTTCTATACGCATATTGCTTCAGAGCAAAACCAAACCCTTGCTTGCAAGTGATGAGAGATTTCTAAAAGCTGCATGAAATCCTGCCATAGAGCAGTTCTAGCTGGCTTGTACTGGAACAGAACAAAAAGATGATGCTTGAGAAAACTGAATGTGAGGCTGTCTTCTGACTGGTTCTTCATTTTGTGGTCTGGCTCATTTATGCCCTTCTCATCAGACTGTTTATTATGGTACAAGTCTCCCTATAAATGACTCCCATTGTCTTATTAAAAAAAAATGGAAGGAGAAAGGGCAAAAGAGTATCCCGCAGAAGAATCTGTACATTTAATTTGTCAGGAACATCCCCACAGAAAGGGAAGTTAGTTATTTCAAAATTGTCTAGATTTTATCAGGAACAGGGGTTTTGCCTTTTAAATCAAAACTCACCATGAAAGTAATTTTGTTAAAATGTGACCATGGAAAATTTGGTTATGATTGCTGGATAATAGTCCTGTCACAGCTCCTTATTCTTCTCAATCTGTTACTTCAGAGGTTTGTTCATAGTCAAAGGTCGATGCATTGAGCTCATAGTCACTGATTTATTGTGTCATACACTGTCACAAGTGATTTTCAATACTTTTTATCAAACATGTTTTATCATCATGTTTTATCTCTGTGGAAGGAAATACTATGCAGCTCAAACATGGTAGCTTTTTAAAAGTGATCCATTACAAATCCTCTTGCCCACTACTGTCTCAAGTGTTTTTTTCTAGTTTCTACTTTATGATGGGAAAATACGTAGAAATATTTTGCTCCAGTCCAGTATATGCAGTAGAATAATCAGTATATGAAATACCTAAACTCAAAATCACAATGCAGCTAGACAAATCATGAATCAACTAAAATAGAGGTATAAATTGTACATTTATAAAGAAAAAAAGAAAAAACCTGCATTTAAGGATTATCAGCTCTTAAATTTCTCCCCTTCCTAAAGGGAAGTATGTGAGTGTGTGTGAGAGGAGGGGTGTGGGTGTACATAAAAATCCATTGGAAAGCAGGGGAGAAAATGGAGAGTAGAAAGAAAAGGAAAAACAAAAGAGTATGGGTCACTTACAACTTGAGATATTCTATGATTAAAAAAAAATTTGTTTAGTAATAACCTGTATGTTTTTTTGTAGAATGTAGGATCCCCATCAGAAATCTCCTTCTGCCAGAAGACACACATGTGCAAGTGAAATCATGATGGCTCAGGTTGTGACCAGATGATTGGTTTCGCTGTGCAGTGCCAGAGGTGAGTGGTAACCACTTCTAGTTCCGGGATTAGTAGAATAATCAAAGTGCCAATTGCTCAGCCACAAGATGAACCCATTTTTCTCTGTAGAATAATGTAATGAAGATATCAGCGGCTAACACAGAACACGGTATCTACTTACAAACAAGTCACTGAAATCTGTATTTCGTATGCCTTCTTAACTAAGAGGTTTTGCAATCAGTTATTGTTAGTACAGTTATTGTCTTGGGACGTTGACAGCTAATGCTTTTATGAAGAGGCAATAGCTGCTTTCCATCACTGAAGCTCTAGTCAGTTTATAGAAATTTTCTCAAAGTCTCTCACTTTGAGGTCATTGTAGAAAACAAGGAACAAGTTCTACTTGTTTCATGTCTTGTTGATTCCACTCAGATTTTTCAGTTGCTCATCAGAGGTGAAAATAATGTAGTCCTTTGTTTTCTAACTGCTAGAGAGTCCTGAGGTAAGAAAAGTATTAAAAAATAGTTTTTCTCCCACTGGGGAAAAGATTAGCACTTAGTTGCATAACTCCATTTTATCCTCTTAAAGACTGATGCTAAGAGTCTCCCTGAAATAGCCATTAAACTAAAAGCTGAGGTTTGGAAGGGTGATACTCATGCCTTGGCTGTGCCTGATGAGGTTCTCCCACTTCCCAGATTAGTGTTCTAATCAACAGGTTGTTTACTGGGACATGAGTGCTTATGATGAGTTCAGAAGAAAGTCTTGGGTTTTATTTCCTGTTAGACCAATAGGTTTTGAAATCTTGTTATTTTTTCATAGGTGAGAGTTTTCTTTTATCAACAGTTACCTTACACATCATCTAATGCAAGGTGAGTCATTTGGTAATTTAGCTTCCTTAGGGTATATGGCTTATGGTGTGCCCTGTCTGTTTCCCTTGATTCATCTGGAATACTATGCCCAAAAGAGGAGGGAGGAAGACCAGAGATAAACATTAACTTTTTTCTCTTTTTTTAAAGTTGTCTCTAACTACTAAAGTGCTTTTTGCAGAGCCTAAAAACACTGTCCGCTAGAAAAAGAACTGTTTGGAAAAAGCCAACCCCATTCATCTCCTTACGTGGCTTTTTCCTCTTCTGAGGCCTGAGAAAAAGCTTTGAACCTGGAAGGTGAAGCCTAGTAGTTTCTAAGCAGCAAGGGTTCAGATATATTTAGACCAGACCTGTCTTCTCTCTCTACTTCATTTGCTGCTTGTTCCATTTGCTTGTGGGTATTTTTATCAGTTGTATCTGCGTTGTTAGCCATGTAACAGACACCACACAGAGGATGATAATGGGCTGAGGCAGGGAATACCACTGTACCTTTCAATTCACAAATTTAAGAAAAATAGCTTGAATTTTTACGAACATTCAAATTTTTTAAGTAATTTGCTCTCTGTCCTTTGCATATGCAGGTTCTCCCTTCCACTGGGTTGAGAGGAGAGTAGAATTTTTTAAGACAGTAAGTTATTATTTTTCTTCATTCCTTTCAGTTCTCCACATAAGGCTATTTGGCTTTCCAGTGCTTCTGCTTTTTTTCTTCTCCCTACAGAAGAACATAATTTTGCATTATCAATGAACATCAGACTAGACCTCATGGGCATGCAATTTCCTGGGCTCAGGAAGGAGTCCAAAGGTTAGTCTCATAAATCCTATGTATGCTATGTGGCTCTTCCAGCTCTTAGCCATGTTTGGCAACAGGGTCATTTGTTCTAGCACTCACGTAATAGAACATGTTTCTTTTATGACCTCTGAGCAAGCTGCTCAGGCTAAATCACTGTACATACAGTCATGACTTGACCAATGCCTGTGCACATCTCTGATGCTTTCCTATTATTTTGTCTGTAAAATAGTGCAGAATTCTCCTTATGAGGTGGTGTTCCTGGATGACAGAGCCTCCTGCTGCACATAAAAATAAGGACTGATTTTTCTGAGAGTCACCATGTGTACAGATTCCAGAGTCAAGGAGATTCTAGATGGAATGTTTCTTAGTATAAGAAATACAGTTCTTCTGGAAGTAAATGAGTGTTTGTGGACAGTTCCTCCTTGCTGTGGTCTCCAGTTCTCCAGTGCAAGGTTCCATGTGGAGAAAATCAGGAATGCTTTTATTTGTGAGATTTTTCTTCATGTATTTTAGGTTTTCATTGAAGAGGTGTAAAGGCTGAAAGCATATGTAAGGCTGTTTTCAATATTTTCATACCTCTGAAAGTGATAGTATGTGGTTATGTGCCTCTAAACAGACTTTTCATCTAAAAAAACAGAAAAAAACCCCAAAAAACTCTGCCCTCTCAAAAGCCATTAATTGTCTAAAAAATGTTTCACTCAAACAAGAGATACTTTGATGAGCTTAGATGTCATGATATTGTTTGCTTGGCTGGCAATTCTGCAGCACCCTCAGCTCTGATTCCTGCAGGTACCATAGAAACAGCAAGCACAGCAGGTACCTACTTCCACTTTCAGGGAAGAGCCACAGACCAAGCCACTGTGTTCTGTGATTGCTCTCAGGCAACTAGAGGCCTGAGCTTTATCCCTCCTTGGTCCTTTGTTTTATTCTCCTCATATTTTAGTTTGTTTCACTCTGTTAGGTTTTTTTGAATTCTGCTTTTCTTTCTTTCCTCGTGTCTCACATTAGAAGAATGCCAACTTTATTTTGAGCTCTCATTGCTGACAAAGTTTGCAAAACGAGTTCTTTATCTCTTATAATACAAATGATCAGATTATTTTGATGAAGTAGGTTGAAAGGAAAGGCATTAATTATCAGGTCTCAAGCTTTAGTCCAATTAGTAGACTCTCAAACATACTTAGCACTGGTGTGGACTTAATGCCTTTGTGACTGTTTGGACTGCTGTTGCAACCTGAATCCATTCTGGGAGTAGACTGTATCAGAGAAGGAAGAGCCTAGTGTATTACTGCAATAGGGAGGAGATTATATATTAGGAAGATTTAAAGATTATATTTGCTTCAGGGCAGAAGGACTCACTCATTACTTCTGGTAGGTCTTAAGCCCTCCTTGTGAAATAAGGAGGAAATGGCAAACCCAACACAAACTCTTGTTCCAGAAGCGGGTTATATTTAAAAATAAAATATCTGTATGTCTGGAGCTGGGCTCTAAGAATATGGAGATGTAAATGCTGCCATGGCAAGGATTCCTGCTGGGACATACTCCCTTTGTCATCAACATTGTGACTGTCCATTTCCATAAGTGGATTAAGTCTGAGAGAGAGGGTATGTCCTTGCCAGCTGTGGATTTCCAATGTATCCTTGGCTTACTACCATACCACAAAAAAACATGGTCAGTCCCCGAACATCGAATTCCTGAAGTCTGGACTCATAGAGGTTTTCTGACAGTATTCTATTTTTTTTTTTCTCATAAGTGTGTCTTCTACGCCTTTCAGAGGAAAGGAAGGATCTCTTTAGCAGTATTTGTCTGCTCTAAAGAGTTCTTGTTTCAGCTCACCAGGTGGAGTTCTGAACACTGTCTCCATGATTTTGACTACAAGATTACTACGAGACAAAATGGTACATATCCTGAAGGACTTCCAATTGCTATCAGTGGAATTTTACAAGTGATCAGCCAAAGTGATTAGCATCTTATAGGAATGAATGTTGAGTGAGTATAGAGATTCCTTTTTTCCTTTTTCCATATTCTAGAATCATGATTTACTGGATAGATATGAAGTCAGTTATGGATCAGTGGGGCTTTATGGGTTGGGGCTAGAGTGTTTCTGTGTGCAGATTGGGTGTAATAATTTTTTGCTACTCAAATTCCATCCTGGTTGTAATCTGAAGGCTGCTCTGGAGTTTCACTTGTACGTTGCCTTTGGTTGACCTTTTGTGCAAGAACTCACTTCATCCAAACCCAGCAGAGATATTGAATACTTTCTTCGCTGTGATAGAAGGTGGCTGTAAAAGAGATAAGGGGACAGGCAGGTATGTGCTGCTGAAAAAAATATTTGTTCCCTAGATAGTCATCAAGATGTACTTTTAGCTCCAGCAGACTTGATGTCTGGTTGATGCTTCATATTTCATTGTATCCATTGGTGCTTGCTGGAATGAAAGGGAAAAAAACGAACTCCATTCTCTCACTTGGCTATAGAGTATTAAAGATAAGCTTTGATGTGAGATTTATGTTGAGGAATACATTTGGTGCTGGTAGCTCAGTGTGCAGTGGCAGTGGAGCTGCAGATTGAGCTCTGGGGCGTGGGAGCCCAAGAAAAGAGGCTGTGACTTGGCACCAACCACCCTTTGCACAACAAAGGGCACAGGAACCTGTGGCCCACACAGGTGATTAGACACTCAGAGACAGCAGGAACTGAGGGCTCATCAGGAAGAGATGAGACTTTCATGGGCTTGGACTGTGGGGGTGTAAAAGCCCAGGATTACCTCTGTTGGGGGTCCCTCCTTGGAGGCACCAGTTACTGCACCGTGACTAAATTGTTCTAAGGAACCAGACATATGAGTCTGCGCTAAGGGAATCCTGGGGTCGAGCCAGTAAGGAAACCTGGTCTGACTCTCAGAGTGGGGAGTCAAACAAGGCTTAACATGAACCTGTCAGCTCACTGGAGCCATCCACTTTGAAGGAACTTCAGTCTCAGCAGTTATAATCTCTGGTGGTGCAAGTGTGACTGCCAGAATGGCTCCTGAATGGTCAGACAGGAAAGTTTCCTTAACAGATGGTTTAATTCTTCTACTGCTTGCTTACATAGTGTATTGTAAAGGAGATGTAGCAGATAGTCTGGAAAACTGGAATTCACTTCCAGTTCTATAGAGGGCATTGTAAAGTGGCTGTCCAGAGTAAAAAGTATTTACAGTTCCAGAAACAATACTATAGGTGTCCTTTCTCAGCCCTTTCAGAAGGCTCAGCTACCCCAGCTGCATCTCACACTGTAGGTCTAGATTTTTGCAACTGATCCTTACACTTACATTCTCCTGGGTCTCAGGCACGTCAACTGTGCAAGCTGCAGCATCTTTCCTGCAGCGTGCTGTGCTGTGTCAGATGGGTCACTGTTAACTTGCAGCACAATGTCAAGGACTCTCCTCCTCATGTGACTACACCAAATATCTCCCCTGACAGCAATTGCTTTGCTGTCAGAAATACTGGAAAGAAAGGATCTTGAGATGCCTTCCTTGTCCTCTTAAGCGAAGGTCTATGCCTGTCATCACAGACTTGCTGAGGCACTGTAGACTTTACTCTCTAAATTTTTTTTCTTGACTTAGCTTTGCAAATGGATTAGATGTAAATCTGCCCAGAGCTTCACACTGCCATAGCAGTAATAGTTATTATTATGGTTCTTGAAATACACTGCTAAGTCTCACAGAGATGATTCAGCTGGCTGTGTATTTGCCTGAATACTTTATAATTATAAGAAAGTATAAAGTCGAAAGATTTGAGGTTCCAATTATACAATCAATGCAATGCAATTGGCCTACTCAAAAACAGGGAACTGGCAAATGTAATCTTCAATGGTTAGCTGGGAACGCTTATTCTGCTGTGCCATACCCTGAAGAAAATACAGTGTGTCCTGGAAACTAATCAGAGTATAAATACGGGATCCTTTGGCAAACAAGGATTAGAGAGAAAATATGATGTGGTTGTATAATAGTGGTTGAGGCTCTGATAGTGAAGAAAGACTGATGATTTGTCTCCAGGTAGAAGTGTTGAGGAAACCTTTTAGCTATGAATGCCTTTCATGGGCTCTGCCAAACAATGCCTCAAGCTCAGAGCAGCTGCCTTGTTAGCTCAGGACTCTGCTTGTTCCTATCATGTCTCTGCTTCTGCCTTGCACATGCATTTTAAATTGTCATTATTTCAAGGTTTGATTCTATGTGTCCACTTCTAAAGTGTCTTGGGAGTGAACACTGATGGAAGCACATATAGTTGAAGTATAAGGAAAGAACAGGAGGTTACTGGCAGAGGGGTTCCCAGCTTTTTTTTTTCAATGTGATTGCATCCATACTAAGCTTTTTTGGGGTATTCCAAAGTAGTATGTAAGCAGTCACTGTGCAGCTGAAGTCTGTACTGTTTCAAGGGAACAGCATAACCACTTTGACATACAGCTATTTTGTTTAATTTAACCAGATGGAACAACCTCATTTAGATTCAGAATACAGCCAGTCGTAACACAGGTTTTTTTCAAGCAAGAAAAATTCTACCATAAATATACAAGCTTTATACTTGGGAAGATGGAGAGGAAAATTTTATCATCAATGTGCAAATTTATGTAATCATTTATAATCATCAACCTTCCCAGCTGTAAAGAATATATCTTTTTCTTTCAGTGTATACTGTAGTTTTCAAATGCTAGCTGTGTGTTTTGCTTTCCAGAATGGATGATTCTCTTGGCAGCAGGGAGACATTCTGTAACCTTTGTTACAAAACCACAGTTCTTTAAATTGTGGGTTTCACCCCCTCTGCAGGGCTGCCTTCAGTCCCTACTCAGGCCTGTCCATAGAGAGCACTTCCATTAGCAGTGACAATGACATTGAAGGGTGCAGCCCATGAGTCTGAATATAAAAGAGGTCTCAGCTGCTCAAAGCATCATCATTGCACCTGTGTACCAAGGAGACATGTACACTGCCCTTCCAGTCTATGGGGAAAACTTCTGCCACTGTAGCTTAGTAAAATTTAAGGTCACAAGATGGCAGCATAATCTCACTAGTGAGGTTGACAGAATTTGAAGGATCAGGTCATTAGTCTTCCTCAACTCAAACTCCTGTTTTGAGCAGTCAGAAAGTCTTGTGTCTAACTGGCTGGTGCTTCCTGGGCTCTCTAAACTATGTATATACATGAAAGTGGGTGAAAAGCCTGTTACATCAGGCTTTCAAACTAACCTATTTAATTTACACTCCAATGCACTGTGATAGTATTGACATAAATGGCTCACCAGGAGTTCAATACTGAACAAAAAAATTACACCAGCATGTTATCTAACTAATCAGTAAAAAAAGGCAACATTGATGGAACATTGACTTTGCAAAGCCTGTGCAACTGGAAGTCATATTTGTTATATTTTTCCTTCCTTTCTGGTCTTGAGAGCAAGATATTCTGAACCCGGCCTCAAAATACAGATTTCTTACTGAACATTAATTTTTTTTTGTAGTACTACTGAGTGAATATATTCTCTGCAAAGAGCTGATTCATGTATTATTCTCTTTCTGTTTGATGGATATTTAAGTAATCCGTATTCAGTTTTCATCTGCCTATTTGTCTGCCTGTCTCTGTCTCTCTCTTTCAAAGAGATCTGCCCATTCTTACCATTTGTTCTGTTTGAATGTGCAGTACTTCATTTGGAAAAAAACCCTGTGCTAGGGAGAGATGATTCATCACATCAGTCACCATATTATATAATGCAGAGTGATAACAACTACTGTGAACATTTCTAGCAGCAACATTCCCACTCATGACTTTAAATACTTACCTCAGAAATGCCTGTAAAAATAAATGGAGATATTTGCATATACTTGGAAGAAAAACAAGTAATGAGAGCAAGTCAAAAATCTCTCGATTTTCAGAATTAATTGCAATGTTGTGTGATATTACTGCAGAATTAAACCATGGATTTTTAAGTTCGCCTTCCAGGTACACTTTTTTGAGAAGAAGGTAGAATCATAGATTTACCAGTTGCTTGCATCCACCAAGTGATTAGGATGTTTTGGCACAAATGCAAACCGTGTTTATGGATATTTACTTGCTAAACTTACAGGTGCATTTCCATGGACACTTTTGCAAACATTAGACTTTTGAACATATGCTGAAATCCCAAGTGGTCGCTGGCTTTGGTTTTGTGTACTTGTTCAAATGACCATTGTTCTCATGGAGTTTACTCTCACTGGTCAATATAGTTGTATCTGAGCATGCCTAAGAGAAATTTAATAAAGCAAAAGAAAAATTGGAAAATTGTACTCTGACCTTTCTACTAGCAGGTCATTTTTGGCCTAAGTAATTGGCCACATGGTGTCACTGTGTTTCAAGGCAGCAAAACTTCTAGCAATAAAGCCTTTAGCAATTCTAAGTTTTCAAAGTATCCCAACAATGTGATGTTATCTAAGAAGACACTCCAGCAAAAATGGCAAGGCCATGAAAGCTTCACAGTAGGAGTGTTTCAGGAAGATATTTTATAGAAAACATCTGATTCTCAACTTCTCGTACCTTCCTGGAATACATCAGAAATATTTTTAGCCCAGAAGCACTTGTTCACCAGATGTCTGCATAAGTGAGAATGCTTATATGGAAAGCTTTATCTTAAATTGTTGCAAGTTAGAAATTTAAAAATTCAGTGGTGCGTCCTACACTTTAGTCACAGTCCTTCTTTTCTTCTTCTGTCTTTGTATATCTGAATGTGCAACAACTTTTGACTTTGCTAAACAGAGGTAACTTGGCCTTATGGTGCTCAGAGTAATATAAACTGCAGCTCCTGGGACCCACAAAATACTGTTTAATCCCTGCTGGCTCTGAAGAATGCTTTGCAGAACACACCTGCTCAAGAGAGCTGTGCCAAAAGCTGATGTATTATGTGTTTAAAGAATCTCATGATGTACAGCTATAGCAACAGTGAGAGAAACCTTTGTGTACAGATACAGTATGAACCCTTAGCCAAGAAGATGATATCT